ATTTAATAACTTTTTTATAATCATTATTATCATATTTTACTTTCTTCTAACCTTTCTTTATATATATATATATAAATATATATATTCTATATTTTTAGATCCAAAAATGAACAAACCGCGAAAGTTTATTATTGACGTAGAAGAAACAAAGCGACTTCTATTAGAGCGACCAAGTTTTAAAACCATTCCTTTTTCACATCCGGAATTTTCACACAAATATGAAAGAAAAAAGGGATTAAAGGTAATAAAAAAATATACTTTACCGTGAGAGGCTCTTCGTTTACGAGGTGTTCTATCAGTTGGACAAACCGTTTTTTGTTGATTATTTGACATATGTGACATCTAAGATCCAATATTAAAAAGAATTATGATTTAAATAGATATATTTGATTTAAGAAAAATTAAACCAACAAAGAGGTCACCAAAGTATATACCACAAAGCCCCTAACTTGTCTAGCGCTGACGCTATTGGTATCAGTACTGTAATATACTTTCGAATCAGCAAATACATGGTTACTGGCTGTGTCTCCCATCTCTATATATTACTATATATAAATATATTTAAATATATATATTTGTTAATAATGTTATTTTACTACCGATCAAAAAGAAAAAATTTTTTTTTTAATTTTACGTGAAACTTACAAACTTATTCTTGGATAAAAAGGTGGGAAAAAAAAGATAATAAAACCAAAGAGACACTTGGAAAAAAAATTTTTTTTTAACGAAAAAGTGTATTATACTTAGGGTATTTGATTTTTGGTATTTTTTATTTATTCTTATAAATAATAAAAGTATGAAAAAGAAGAGAAGTTCAGCCAAGTAAAAAAAACCAGGATTTTTATACGAAAAAAAACGCTTATACGATAAATATGACGTAATAAAAGTAATAAAAAAAAAAATTTTTTTTAAAACGTTAATAATTTATATATAGTGTAGTATTGGTTCAGAGTTCAGAATCATGTGATGCGAATTAATTTAAATTAATCGCAAATAATTTATAACTTCAAACTTTGAACCAATGGAAAAGATCGGTTAAGCCGATTAAAAACTTCCACTTCTGATATCGATATTAATAGATGCGATTGTCACCGGATCTTTGCATATCAAAAAAAGAAGCGGAATGAGTAAGAGAGAATAAGAGGGAATGAAACGGATTAAATTGGAAGGGGGAAAAGTTATACTGAGTGAAAAGGA